GAGCAAACCCCACATTCATTAGCACTGATGATGTTACCTAGGTGGGTAGCAAAATTTCTGCAAGCAAACAACCAAGCTCAGAGAATGCCAAGGACTTCATAGAAAATATATACAAATTTTTATGAGGTTGTGTTTTTTTTTCAAACAAACACAAAATATTGCAGAACTAGAACTAGGCATGTTTATGAATGAATGTAAGTATAAAATCAACATGGCTTGCAAATACTTTGATTTGGCCTCCTTTTGTCTATTATTGAAGTAGCGACCTATGCACCCTCATCAGTTCAATGATAAACTGGGAGTTAAAAATGGCAAGTACCATTTGGGAGATTCTTTTTTTCTTTTCTTACTCTTTGTTAGTTAAACCATTTCTAACATTTAGAGCCTCTCAGAGGCTGATAGACGAGGACTGAAATTTGTGCTTTGGAAAAGAGACCAAGTCAAGCTGAAAAATCTCCATCCTGGGAACTCTTACTGTGGCTCCCTTGCGTTAAAGCTATACTGGCATCCACCAAGTTTGAGTTCTCAGCACTCAGTAACATTGAGTGCTCTCTGTCTTTAATGCCTGATAAAATTTACACATCATGCTAAGTCATGGTTAGCTTGACCTTGATTTATTAAAAATGGATTTGTCTTGCTTCACATCCTATCCTAAGCTTTACAAACAAGAATGACCAAGTACATAAAACACACATTAAATCAAAATCAAAGAAAATAACGACGGCCAGGTGCCCACAGCACAGCAAAACCAACCAATCTCATTTCTCAATCTCTTATCCTTGTGTCTTTTTCCCCTGAATCCTCAACAGAATCTGAAGAAGAGCAGGAGGAGCAGAAAAGGAATTTCAGGAGAATGGTGGAAGTCCCCCATGGGTGACATGCTCATCCATGAGAAAGAGGAGCCTGGAAACAAGTATATTAGGTCCCACCAAGATATGGAAGCTTTCTCCACCCAACATGGAAAGATACCAGATACAGGTAAGAAAGCCAAGGGGAAATTGTATTTGAGTTCTCAAATAAGCCTGGAGAATGGCTTGAGAATTCCTGTTGTGAAACCTTCCTTATTGTCAAGTTGCTTCCTAACAATCTATCCAACCTATCTGGACTACAGTTAGTCCTTGTTTAACAACTGCTTCATTTAGCAACCATTCACAGTTATGATGGTGATGAAAAAGTAACTTTGCAACAATCCTTGCATTTACAACTTTGCAGATCTGTAAAGCAATGGAAAACTGAAATAAGATCCTAAGTGCTCTCTGAGCTTGGTGCTTTTCTTGCAGACATTTCATTACCAAACTAGGTAACATCATCAGTGCAGTGGTAATGAAATCTGCAGGAAAGCAACCAAGCTCAATGATCCCACAGCTCAACCCTGAGCTATAAATATTCTCTTCTATCGATAAGATCCTAAACACAGTTGCAGTTTCACTTATTGATGGCTTCACTTAATGTCCAAGTTACCAAGTTATCAGCTATGGTAGCTAAACAAGGGCTACCTGTATCCTCTCTCATTGCCTGGCCCCTGTTCACAATCTGCTTGGTAAGAAAACTTAAATCTATGAACTTAAACTCGATTTATGACCTAGAAGATTAGTTTGACATTTTAATTGCTATTAAAGACAGATAACCACTGTTGCTTGCAAGGCCGGAACTGGTTTTCAGCCTGCCATGTGGGAGTAAGTTTGAGAGCAGAGACTGGTGTGGGAAGTGGGTTGCATTCATTTTGCTTATTTTACGGGTGGACAAAAAAAATCAGTAAAACTCATGCCACTGAAGATGAATGCTGCTGCATTGGCAGCCTGATTAGGAAGTGTTGTTTTGTTTTTTCTGGGGTGCAAATGGGGTGTAATTAGCCATAGATCGCATTCAGGGCACTAATTCTAACAGTATAATCTAATGATATCAAATTGTAGAAGTGGAAGGCACAGGAGGGTATATATGGCTGTCAAGGAAGCTGTTTCTGTTATTGAATGGCTCTTATTATCAAGAAAAGTCTCCTAAGGATCAGTCAGAGGCAGCTGTCAGGCCTTGAAGCCCATTAGCTTCAAAGTCCTGTTCTCTGTATTAAGAACTTTTTTGTTCATTCTTTTGTGTGACAGTTGTTCACTTAAATCAGTGGTTCTCAACCTGTGGGTCGGGACCCCATTTGGGATCGATCGACCATTTCACGGGGGTCGCCAAGCAAGGCTGTCCACCATTTTTTTGTCCGCCATTTTTCCCCCTTTTCCGGTGGGTGCCTTACCTCCCTTGGGCTGGGCCAGCTGGTGGTCGGCCTGCTCCGTCTCTGCCGCTTGCCAGCTACGCCTCGGCCGGCGCAGGGGGCGGAACCACGCATGTGTGGCGCTCCCGGGCAGGGAAAGTCCTCGACTTACGACCAGTTGGGTAGTCCTCGACTTACGACCAGTTTAGTCCTCGACTTACAACCGATTGGGGTC